TAATTTCTTGAAGGATCCTTGTGGAAATATCACCAATTATTAATTAAAGTATCCTCTTTTTAATGCAACAAGCCGTTTTGAAAAATTACTTTTAGTTTTTGAGAAACAAATTTTTGAAATGATCGATAATTTTTCAAATTTTGCAATTTTCGCCGATTAAGTTTTAAAAATTCGTATAAAATCCATTTCTTGGAATATGAGTATAAAAATTTCCCAAAGTGTTAATAAAAGTGTACTCTTTCCCATGAACCAACCCGTTTTGAAAAATAACTTTTGGTTTTTGAGAACACAATATTTGAAGTTTTGATAAAATAGTCGATGTTGCAATTTTCATCGATAACTTACAAAATTCGCTATAAAATTAATTTCTTAAAGGATGCTTGTGGAAATATCACTAATTATTAATTAAAGTATCCTCTTTTTAATGCAAAAAGCCGTTTTGAAATATCACTGTTAGTTCTTGTGAAATAAAGTTTGAAATAATCGACAATTTTTTCGAATTTTGCAATTTTTACCGATTAAGTTTTAAAAATTCGTATAAAATCCATTTCCTGGAATATGAGTATGAAAATTTCCCAAAGTGTTAATAAAAGTATCCTCTTTCCAATGAACCAACCCATTTTGAAAAATAACTTTTAGTTTTTGAGAAAACAATATTTGAATTTTGATAAAATTTTCGATGTTGCAATTTTTATCGATAATTTTAAAAATTCGTTATAAAATTAATTTCTTGAAGGAACCTTGTAGAAATATCACCAATTATTAATTAAAGTATCCTCTTTTTAATGCATCAAGCCGTTTTGAAAAATCACTTTTAGTTCTTGCGAAATAAAATTTTGAAATAATAGACAATTTTTTTGAATTTTGCAATTTTTACCAATTAAGTTTTAAAAATTCGTATAAAATCCATTTCTTTGAATATGAGTATGAAACATTCCCAAAGTGTTAATAAAAGTGTCCTCTTTCCAATGAACCAACCAGTTTTGAAAAATTACTTTTAGTTTTTGAGAAAACAATATTTGAAGTTTTGATAAAATTTTCGATGTTGCAATTTTCTTCCATAATTTTCAGAATTCGCTATAAAATTAATTTCTTGAAGGATTCTTGTGGAAATATCACTAATTATTAATTAAAGTATCCTCTTTGTAGAGTTGATTCGTTAGTTAAATCAGCATCAAAAAAGTTCTTTTTGTAGCTTGGATGCAAATAAGTTGACATATCTTATCAGCTTTCTTATTAATTTCATTTTTATTCAAATATCCGGATATCCGGCTTTTCGCAAAATCCGTTCCATCACTAATTAAAACATTATTAAATGTCTTTAATTCAACAATTATGAGTAGGTGTGGATTTAGTGATTTAGATATAGAAATGTTTTTAAGTCGCTATAACATTGACCCAGATGCTAAAGTTTATACAAGAGATGTTGATAAATTGGTGGAAAATTTGCGATCTGAACGTAAATAATTTTTTTAATTATTTATTAATCCAAACTTAATAAGTATTAATTTAGTCCCACAACAAGATAATCAACCATCACCTATCCCTCTTAATTTAATTGAAAGTGACGTCCATCATCCATCTATTTTAAAGAAAGGTAATGAAAGCTTCACAACGAGAACTCCAAGTGTAACTCCAGCCCTATTTTTGGCGTAAGTTGACCTCAAAAATGATTTATCAATATTAAAATTTATTTAGTCAGCAGAAACGATTAGATATGGTTGAGGGAGTTTTAGGAGATATTGGATATAAGTTAGATCTTTTATTGAATAAGCTGCATGTAATGGAAGCTCGAAAAATGTTATAATACGTTAAATCTAATTAATACAAACAATAAAAGCGAATACAGATACAGAAAAAAGTGAAAGCAACCACACCCATCTCGTTTTGTTTTAATGTCGTAATTGAGCCGAAAACCCGAGCCGGTTATTCAGAGAAGTTTTATAATAGACCCCATTATAATAACGCATAATGTCTTTAAACCCACCGATTACATAGCGTTTTAGTAAAAGTATTCCAAGGAACTCCTTTGACCTTTATCGAAAACCTCTGAAAATCTCCTTCATTATTTCGAATAGCGATCCGGCACCGCCCAAGAAGAACCTAGACCTTCTTTTCAACCGAACAAGTTTCGCGACTTTAAAGTGGATCACACCACCCAATTTTTTCTTTCTTCTTATTTTTATTACGCAAACGATACGCGGCTTTTCGGGTATAAAAACCGATCAAATAATCTTAACAGTCATCAGTTCAACATCAACTGTTCTCTTAACAACTTAAGATATTCATTAAGACATTTTTCGTCTATTTCAAACAAACTCATTTAAAATGGCATTCAAAGTAAGTGATTTTATTTTTAGTTAATTTTGTTGTTTAATTGTTTTTATTCTTTTTAGTTCGTCGTTTTGGCCGCTTTCTTAGCATCCGTCAACGCTGGAGTTATCCAAGCCCCATTGGCTTATTCGCCAGCAGCTTCAGTCAGCACTGCTTATTATTCCACCCCGGTAGCAGCCGCCGCTCCCGTTGCAATCCACGCCCCAGCTGTTGGAGCAACCCATCAAAGCGTTTTAAGATCTTTGGGTGGTAACCAAGCTGTATCCCATTACTCGAAAGCTGTTGATAGCGCCTTCTCATCTGTAAGGAAATACGACACGAGAATCACCAACGATGCTGTCTCCGTAGCTCACACCCCAGTTGCTTATGCTGCCCATGCTGCACCAATTTCTTATGCCGCCCCAGTTGCTCATGCTCCAATCTCTTACGCCGCTCCAGTTGCTCATGCTCCAATCTCTTACTCCGCTCCAGTTGCTCATGCTCCAATCTCTTACGCCGCTCCAGTTGCAGCCCCAGTTGTTAAAACCGCCGCACTTTCTTATTCACCAGCTGTAGCTGTTGCTCACACAACATTCGAAGGATTAGGTGTTCATTATGCCTATTAAGGATTTTGATGACGATTGATTTGGATCTGTAAATTTGTTGGATGTAACTTATTTATTTGTCTGAGTGGTTTATTTTTATTATGTAATAAAGTTTTTGAACAAATAATTTTTGACGTTTTTGCTTCTTATCCAACGAAATAACCAATTCCTCCCACAGAAAAACAGGTATCTTTCTATAATCAATGTTACCAACTTAATCATAACAAAATATGAAAGTTATGTAATTCTACATAAAAATTAATTGTAACTTAAATATAAAAAGATGTACAAAAACTTCTTATATAAAAAAGTATTCCTTATTGACTTAACTAATAATACGACTATACTAGAATCAATATTACCAACTTAATCGCCTCAAAATTACAAAATAAAATAAATTTTCATACTTTTGCCAATAAAATTATTGTAACTTAGAATTTTAAGAATTTTTTATGCAAAAATGTTCCTTATTGATCCAACTAACAAATCTATTATAATAAAGGGTTTAATTCCAACAACCAATAGTACCAACTTAATTCACAATTATAAAATTATTAAATTTTCAGATTTTTATGAATAAAATTGTTGCAACTCCTAAATAAAACGATACTTACAATATTGTTATATTAGATATGTTGCTTATTGATCCAAATAACAAATGTAATAAAAAGGTATCTTTACAAAATCGATGTTACCAACTTTTCACCACAAAATATCAAAAAATGTGAAATTTACGTATTTTTATATAAAATTAAT